AAGTAAAATATGCAAAGAATTTTTTAGGAAATACTCCTAGGATAGAGGTTTCTTCTTTGAAGATTATGTTAGTGTTAAATTGAGTGTTTGCGCTCCTTTGAGCATGTAATTCGATTAACCAATTCTTGTGCTCAGACTAGTCATTAAAAAAAGTTGAGACATCCAAGTGGCAATTCGTGCTAAGTTTAAAGGGCATCTAGGTAAGACATGTTGTTCGCCTCACTTGACATACTCAAATAGCGTGTGTTTGCTCTTATATATGAGCTGTAAAAAGCTTAAAATATATTTTTCTCTTTTTCTTTCAAAAATAAAATTCGCCTTCTTCCTCCGACGAACAACATATCTTCACCATCATTCACGCACATACATATAGATCCTTAGTCATAAATCACCGATTTCTCTATGTTCTTAGCGCTACCTTAAACTATAACTGCACCAATCAATAAAATGTAGTTCCCTAACACGTATGAGTTTTTCTTTACTTGCTTATTGTTTGACCCCAATGAATTTTTTTTTCATTGCTCGCTGAAACTAATTTATTGGTTGAAATTAACTAGATTTAAGAACCTCATAGAATCTCCCCAATTAGGACTCCTACATTATGTAAAAGAAAAAAAAAAGAATTAAAATTATTTAGATATTTTAAAAGATTAGAATTTTTTTATTATTTTTTTTATGTTTGAAATGCACTCCCACTTCTGCGATCTTGACCACCGCACCTGCAGTTTCACTTAAATGCCCAAAGTTACATCTGCGATAAGATATCCGCAGCTGCGATAGCACAAGTGCGTTCACCTAGCCGCTTCTACGATTCTAGCTCCCCATAGACCATTCCGCTTCTATGACTTGCTTCCGCATCTGCGGGGGTCGCACTTACGGCCTCCCAACCGCAAATGCGGTTATGACAGCAGACTTAGCTTCAGCTACAACATCCAAATTCCAAACTTTCCGCCAACCATCCGAAATCACCCCGAGGCCCCCGGAACCTTAACCAAAAGCACCAACAAGTAATATACCACTATCCAAGCTTATACCAATCTTTAAAATACCTCAAACAACATCGAATCAACCAAATCACATCGAATTCAAGCCTAAGGTTCCAAAATCTTCCGAATTCTACTTTTAATCAAAAAGTCTATCAAACCACGTCCGAATGACCTGAAATTTTGCACACACATCCCAAATGAAACAACAGACATACTATAACTCCCAGAATTCTATTCCGACTCCTATATCAAAATCTCACCTATCAATCGGAAAATGCCATAATTTCATTTTCACCAATTCAAGCCTAAGTCTACTATGAATCTCCAAAACATATCCCGATCACACTCCTAATTTTATAAAAATATAAATAAAAAAAAATCTACTAGTTGATGTACCTTTTCCCGGCATTTGCAAAGTGGAGAGACAAAACAATAACAAGCGCGTGTATGAGCTTTGTAATGTAGAGAGTGGCTACTAAAATCTCAAGAGAAAACTCGAGGCCAATGATGCATAGAGAGAGTATCCAATGATTGTACATATGCGCGTGTCGGATGCAATGTGACACGCACGAGTGCTATAAGTGGGTCCCATGTTACTGCCACGTGAGCAAGCACCCCATGCTTCGTCACGTGAACTACCACGTGATCCTCCATCTTTCTTGTCTTTTTCCCTCTTTTCAAAATCTTTTAAACTTTTTTGTTTTTGTTCTTTTTCTCTCCCTTTCATGGAGCTCATGCTTGGCTTTGGATTCTTCCAATTTGCTTGGCCCTAACTTTTTAGCCCAAAGGTTGAAACTTTCTATCCTTTCGTTTTTTGCTTTTTTGCGTTTCTTTGTTTTACTTTTTCATTATTTTTATCATCCTTTTCTTATTTTGGAAGTCAATGAGCGCAGAAAAAAAGTGTGGTGGGTCAAGATTAAGTCCACCTTATTTTCTACATAATTGTATGTGATATTGGAATAGCTAGGTAATGACTTAGATTACAAGTTTACTGGTTGTGCAATGATCATGTGTAAAATTAGTTTCGTACAATATTTATTAGAACACAGTTGTATTTTTTTTTCAATTCCATAATAGATTGTAAACAAATTCTCAATTTATAAATTATATTATTTCATTCAAAAAAAAATTGAGAATACTTAACTTTGTAAGTACTATATCGGTTCCTCTAAGTATCATTATGCATAGGACCTGCTAGATTATGTAACTTAATAATACTTATAACACTTTTATTAATCATAATTTGTCAGATCATTGTTTCAATTATACAAATTAAATATTGAAATTGCAGTTAGATTCGAGATTCAGATAGAGTCTTTTGCCCTCAGAAGAATGAGATCAATTAATAGAACAATTCCATGAACACTACAATCAAGAGGCACAGATTGTAATATCTTAAAAAGTAACATACGTAAAATGAATCTTTTTTCACATATCGCTTATTCGATCACCCTATCCAGGCAGATAAGGTATTCCAAAACTATTTCATGGTTATTTTTCTACAACCTACTAGAGTACGTGAAAAGCTTATATACAGGAAAGAATATTGTACAAGTTGTTTCTTTAAAATTCTTTTGTGGAGTTTCGGGTGAAATTCATTCGTATTCCTTGACCTATATATTCGTTGACAAACTTTTTTTTTTTGTTGTCTTCACTTAAGTTAGCACATAAATGCATGACTATAGGTGAAAAGATATAATAACTTTAAAGGTGAAACGTTAATGTTTTGAATTTAATTTGGAACAAGTTAGCCAAGGGAATTAATCAAACAATGTCAACTTCTAGCTAGGGAGATTCAACATTAATGACAATTATTTGATGCCTCGTTAGCGAGAGGTCTCAAATTTATGTCCCTCAGGATTCCTACACTAGTGTAGCCTTATCTCAATGTGGTTCACTAGTTGCCAATTCATGCATGAGGTAAGTATACCTATGTTATGTGGAAAAAAGATAATAATTCAACGATTAAACTAATTGGTTCGGAGCTAATAATTATTTAGGAATTAGGCGCAGGGGCGAAGGTACGTTAGATTAAGAGTGGTCAATTAACCACCCTTTATCGAAAAATTACATTATATATATAGATAAAATATTAGGTTTTAGTGGTGTATAATATATATTAAAAATTCATTGGTAGGGAACTTTTTTCTCTTTTTTCCAGTTTGACTATCTAGGTGTACTTATTTTCGCTGTATATAGTGGTAATTGCATTCCCATAACAGTCTGTTGATGATTTGTGTGGTACAAAATAATCCAAAAATTATCATACTAAGATTAAGTTTTATATTGCTATAATAGAATTTTTACGTATATCCTTCTATTTGACACACAGCTAAAGTGGTACTCCAGAAACTGTTAGTTGAAGTTGTAACTTACCATTTAAATGCAAACTCAATTATCAAGACTGCAGTAATTAGTCATTACAAACATTATTTCTGTAACATACTATCATTTAAAACAAGGGAAACTTGCGTTTCTTCCTCCCCCATATTATTCAAACCAAAACACTCTGTAACCTATTATTCAAGCATATAATTATGAAAACTTATGACAATTCTTAATCAAATCAATAAGTACATATAACTATTAATTACTTGCACTGTTTCGTAACATTGTAACAGTTTTGTTTCGGATAGTCAAACTAGGTCAATTTGACTTACAATTTAAACATATCCTTTTGTAGTTTTGATACGATAAAGATTGCATATACTTTAAATTTTTTGTAAAAGTAATATAAATATAAATCCGTTTAATTTAATATTATGTGTGATTACAATGAGTTCAAATCGTTACAAATCGAGAACTCGAACGTAGCAAAAGTGTAGTTCATCAAAATTATAAATGTAGTTAACACTCTGTAAGCAAAAAGTAACCAAAAAACAAAAATATGTGACGGAAAAATAAATATTAAATGTCCAGCAGTTGGCATTGCCTTCGATTTTAGCACAAAATTCAGCGCGTGAGTAAAAAAGATGTTCAGAAAAAATCTTTCACGAGAGAGCACGCACGTTAGTCAACAGTCAACGGTGGGAAAAAGAGTAAAAAAGCCGCTTTTCAATGAGAAGTTACAATTCAGGAAAGAAAAAGCAAACATTATTACTCCCTTCAGTCAGTAACTCTACCTTCAGTTACTTTTACACTCACAAGTCATTCACCGTGGTTAAATTTCACCAAACCATGGTCTAAAAAAGCCCCATGCAAAATTTGCCAAATATAAATAGACAGAAAAACATCCAAAGAAACAACAATGGAAAAGCCAAGCTAAAATCAAAGCCAATCTCTATCATCATCATTGAGCCAATAGCCACTGACATAAGTCATCATTGAACATCTATTTTCCTTCTTCTCTGTCTATTCACACATCTCTTTCTTTCTCTCTCTAAATCAGTTTTTTTTTTGTTTACAAAAAATAAAAGGACAACTATAAATATTTTTCTTGTTTGTATATATATTGTTCATAGGTTCTGAATCTTCTGCCCTATTGCACTAGCCAAAGGAAAAAAGCTGTAACTCCTCTGCTACAAAAGAGAACCACCCCATTTTTCTTCGTTCTGTCCCCCACCTCCTACCCAACACATTCAAAATCCCAGAGAAAGAAAAACCCCCCATTTACCTTTCTTTTGGATTCTGAAGGGAAAGAAAAAGGGAACTTTATAGGTTCTTTAGAGGAAAAGAAAGGAAGAGTAAAAAGATGGGTGGTGAGAAAGAAGATGGTTTAGGTTTGAGCCTCAGCTTAGGAATGAGTTGCCCTCAAAATAATCTCAAGAATAATGACTTCATTTCACCATCAACTCCTCCATTCCTCTTGCCCTTCATGCATAATCATCAAATATCTGCAGGTAAAAGTTGCACAAGTTTACAACCTTTTGCTTTTTTCTTTCTTTTCTTGAGTCTTGGACGCAACGACAAAAGTTATTTGAGTCGTGAAATCAGCTACTTATGTTTGCATCAAGGTAGATTAATTATGTTATACTTTTGGGATGCGACCTATTTCGAACCTTGCGTGAATGAACGCCTGAAGCTTCGTGCACTGGGTGGCTGTCTTTTTTTCTTTCATTTGATCTTGAATGCATGCTCCGAGTCAGACACGAATACTCTCTTAAACTTGATTGGTTCAAATTTTTAAAGTTTTAAGCACTATACATTATACTACAATTGTTGAAATTTTAGATAATTGTCACACATATTCATACGCATCAAAATATTATATTCAGTTGAACTCAATAAATATAGGCTTCATCGGGCCAACCAAATGGGGTTTTTTTTAGCATGTTTGATTTATGTAGATGTTTAATTTATTTATTTTTTGTGCAGAGAGAAATGAAGAAGCAAGAGAATTTATAAGAGGGGAAATAGATATGAATCGACCAGTGAGGATGATAGAGGCGTGTGATGAAGAATTAGAAGATGAAGCTGTGATTATGGTTTCATCACCTAATAACAGCACAGTTTCGAGTGTGAGCGGGAAGAGGAGTCATGACAGAGAAGATAACGAAGGGGAGAGGCCCACCAGCTCCCTGGAGGATGACGGCGGCGACGCGGCGGCGAGGAAGAAACTCCGGCTGTCCAAGGAGCAAGCAGCCGTTCTTGAAGAGACATTCAAGGAGCATAACACTCTTAATCCAGTGAGTGGCAGTTTTGGTAAATTTTTTTGTGGGTAAAGGGTAATTTCTGTAATAAAATAAATATGAATAATTTATTGGAAAAAAAAAAGTTTGTTTAAGTTGTAATGGCTTTGTGTGAAAATGTGTCAATTTACTTCTCCCCCACAAACTTTCCGATAAAGTATATAATTTTTTTTTTTTTTGGGAAAAAAAACGTAAGCATCTTTTTTTTTCCTTTCCAAAAATCTGATTTTTTAAATGCAAAGGTGTGATTAATTATTTTTCTTTCTTCAGAAGCAAAAATTGGCTTTGTCGAAACAGCTGAATCTCAGGCCAAGACAAGTGGAGGTGTGGTTTCAGAACAGGAGGGCAAGGTATGTTATTTGCTTACTGATTCAAGGGTATTTTTGGCATTGAAATAATATTTCACGTTTGTAGCATGAATCTTCGATATTTCTTAGAGACACACGTGTAGTTTTCCATTATAAAATTTGATTATGATAATCTAAGTAAAGCCCTGTCGGGTTACACACGTGTGCATGGATTATACTTCTTATACTTAGAATTTAAAATGATCTAACAACTTATTCTACTCTAACTACAACAAAAGATTTGTCCTATTTTACGTTAATTTTAAGGGGTTATTTTTTGTACTGGACTTATTGTACTTTGAAATTATGAGGTAAGAATTTAATAGTGGTTGATAAAATTTGGTTTTGTTTTACATATGTATATATGTTCCAAGTTGAAATTACGGTTCATGACTGTGATTGTGCTTTGCTTGAGCCAAGAGTTTCAAGCATCTATCGGAAATAACCTTTTTACTTTGGTAAGGTAGGGGTAAGGCTGCATACATGTTATTCTCCCCAGACTTCCACTTGTCGGATTATACTGGGGTTATTGTTGTTGAAATAGCGGTTCATTTGCTTTTGAATTTGGTTCATCGGACTCCACTTGTCGGATTACATTGGCGTCAATTCTTGGAACACAATTTTCAATGATGAGTAAGTAATACTTAATTTAGAAGGTCTAAGTAATGGCTTGAATAATGCAGGACCAAGTTGAAGCAAACAGAGGTTGATTGTGAGTACTTGAGGCATTGTTGTGAGAATCTGACTGAGGAAAACAGACGATTGCAGAAAGAAGTAACTGAGCTTAGAGCATTGAAGCTTTCTCCACAAATGTACATGAACATGACTCCTCCCACCACCCTTACCATGTGCCCTCAGTGCGAGCGTGTGGCCGTATCGTCTTCTTCCTCCTCTGTCACCAGTGCAGGTGTCTCTCGCTCGAACCACCCTGTAGGCGCCCTTCACCAACCGCCAGTGCCCCTCAACAAACCATGGGCTGCAATTTTCTCCCCTAAAACACTCGACGATCAACGAACACAACTGTAGTTTACTCTTGTTGTGAGGGTGAAAAAGGTCATTTGACACAATGGGGAAGAGTCTAAACTCTACTTGGAGCCAAAGAGAGAGAGAAAAGAGTAGTGAAAAGTGGTCCAGATAAAGGTAGGGAGAAATCAGAAAGTGTTTATAGAGTAGGAGATGAATGAGATGATTACAAGAGAATCTTAAGTTCTTTTATTTTTGTTGGGGTTCTCTTTAGTAGATGAATGATTAATGTTTCAAAAGCGGGATGCAATTTTGGGTCAAGAGCAACAATTGTTGAATTTGTTCATTTCATTTGTGTAGGGAAATGGTTACTTAAATGGGACGAAATAATTGTGCTCACTAACCACTTTTATACATCCCTGTTGTGGACATGCTATAGTATCTATCTATATAAATATATAAAGCAGGGACCTTAGGGAGTTTATTTTGCAATTTTCTCAGATTTTTGCCTTTTGTCATTCCTTTATCTATGTGTTGTTTCAAAAGAAACGCCTATTTCTCACTCTACCTCCAAACGTCACGTCTTTTTATATTCATCTTATTTCTTCCACGCTGAGGAAGAAAAGACTGCGTGAACAGTCCTCATGGAAAGCTAACATTCTCAAACCACCGGTTATTGTACAGGCTTGCCGCCGAACTCGACAATATGAATACCGCCATTGGTGACACTACTGGCTCATCCACAACCTTTTCGATGGAAATTTTCTCGGCAAAAAATGTAAAAAACTAAACTTCAATCTTGCACTAACTTTCTTTATCATTATCCTATTCTCTGCAATTTGTTCTGCTAATCTCGGCTAGAAGATAACATCTTTGATTTTTCCTCAGAGTTTATTTCAAACATCAATGCCACCCGAGGAAATCATTTATTTACACACACGCATATGCATACTTCTGGTATGTAGAGACCAAATGATTTTGCGTATGTTTGGTCTAACGTTGTAAAGGAAATAGTCGAAGGATATGGGTATTTGCCCTTTTGGAGAATACAGAGTTCGCGATAAAGATTGTGAAAATTTCGATGGATCCTCGATGTTGTACTCTTTTTTTTCTTTCTTCGCAAGGGTTAAAACTTAGTGCCTCCAGCAAGACCGGACTGTAAGTTATGATTTTTATTGTAGTTTTAGTTTTATTTTTCATCATTTTCCCTATCCAGTATTATTTTCCATCAATTTCTAGCGGCTTATTTTCTTTTTATTTTGATTTATTTCTTTAATTATCAGTTTATTTATCTTATTGTTTGATCTTTTTTTCTATTTTCCTATTTGCTTATGTATGGCTTGGTTCTATTCATAAACCTAACAATTTTATTTGTATTCTTTATTTAAATATGCAGTATATATAGAGTTGAAGCAAATATTGTGCCTTGCTTTTTGTTGTAGGCTTGGAGAAGCGGGAGAAACAAGTGATTGAGGAATCTAACATGAGGCTTGTGCTGGTGGTTTCTCCTCATCGGAATTTAATCACACAGGTAAAAGACATTAAGAGGAAAGCTACTGTATTCCATTTTCCGAGAAGCAAATTCTCCTTTAGATTACATGGCTAACTGGAGCTTATAAGTTGAAGCACCTTGCTCGCTATTCTACTTTTGTGGAGGTTGTTAGGCAGTATGTCTCTCTCCTTTATGTATTTTTATTTTTAACTTTAACATACTAAGGGATCATATCGTAGCCCTCCAACAATGTGACTTTTCTAATAATGAACAAAAGATTTGATTAATGATTGGATTTGAAAGATACTATGAAGCTGATTTTTTGTTAAGACATGTTTATTTATGTTCAATATAAATCTACAAAAGAATATGTGATAGTCTTTCTTTGATAAGTTTTATGTTTTATTTTTATATGTATTTTTTCTCATGTATGTATCATTTAATTTTTTTTTCCACATTTATGTCTTACATTATATAACTATATCTGATTTTTTATTTTATAAAATTTTAATAGCTTTTCTATATCAATTAAATATACAAAAAGATTATGTTCTATCGCGCGAATAAATTAACTAGTTATCCATAAACCTGGTGCCTCTAAAAGTATTTGACTAGCTAGGATTCCCCATAAGGTCACAAAGTCGATTAAATTAACTCTCGGTGTCTGTTTATTTTACTTTTTTACTTTTGATAATGATGATATTCGGATCAGATTGTGCACACCTCACTAGCATGAGTACTAAATAACTCTATCTATTAATGGTTGAGCAAATATGAAAAAAAAATTCCATCTCTCATTATTTTCACTCCTAGGTAACTAGGCCACACCTTTAGATGCAAGCGACCCCGAGGTACTTGTGGTGCAAGAGTCACAAAATGCACCGCATGCCCTAGAATGTAATACGTTGCCATCTTTTGGTTTGGGTTGGGGGATGGGGGCTTGAGATGATCTCAAACAACAACAAAGTTCTACAGTAAAACTTTAGATATAAATTATAAATTTTAGGAATAGAAGAACTCTTGGGAGCAACATCTCCTTGACTCGATACTGTCACATAAACTACATCCACCAACAGAAATATGAAAGAAAAGGAATGGCAGAAAGCTCAAATAGCCTTGGGACAGATCTTATGTTATATATCGAGAAGAATACAGATTTAAAGAGAGGAAGCAACCCTTTGAAAACAAGCTGAACTCAATCTTAGCTTCAATTAAACATGTAAAGACATACAAGTGAATTTCAAAGTAAACATTCATCTGTACCAATGGCATTCCTTCTTTTTTTTTTCCCATCAAGTTCAATACTGTGTTCATCCGGCTTTAGCAAACAGGTATTAGTTACACAGTATTCACAGTGTCAGCAAGACAACGCAGTATGCAACCTAAACCAGCTTTTTCTGTTAGTTTTTCATGGATCCTTAGGCATTGGTCACATGTTGGGCGGTCTCCAGTAGACAAACCTCTGTACAAGTACCTGCACATCGGATAAGAATGTTCTGTGAAGCTTGTAACCCAACTTCAGAAATGTGCCACATTACTTGCACAACAGGCAGATCTATGGATTTATTTTCCTTTTTAACTATTGGAATAATTACAAGGCAAATTTACATTCATTTCTTCTTAGTGTATCAAGTATGCATACAACAAACGAGTTCATTTTCAACTATAGTGTGTGTGAAGCAGAGTCTAGATGGTCCAATATCAGAAAAAGAATGAATGTCTCCTTCCATTTTTCTCATCCTATCATGTTGCGCGGACTCTCCAAAATGTGGCATATTTTGACCTTTTCTTCTATTCCTAAAGTTCGAAGTAGTGATGCTGGAGTCGCTGCTGTGGTCCACTAAAGCAAATGAAAGCTGTCAAAAAGAGTTCGTTCAACAAGGAAATGTCATCTTGCATCACATAATTCCTTCATCTTCTTTACAGTAATGAAGATATAAACAGATTTAGGACTAAACTTTAACAAGAACCATAAGAAATCAAATCAGCAGCGAATTATTTAAAGTTGGAATCTTGTTGACAAAAATATTGGTATATCCCCTCAAGGAAATGCATTTGCAAACCAATTAGCCAAGATACAATACTTTATATTTTGCTAAGATTTCTGAATACCACCTAAGTGGTAATGCCTTATTACGATTTATGGTTATGGAATCATTTTTTTATGTAATCAATTTATGTTTCTTTTTGTGTCTTTTTTAATTCTTACGATTTATCAATAATTTATGTTTTATATAATATAGTATACTTCAAAATTATAAGATCCTTCCAACTTGTCTCATGATTTTCAAAATTTGTGCCTTCATGTAAGACACGACTCTCATGTCTGTTGTTTCTGTGCTACGTATGGCGGACCAGTGGGGAGCATATATGCAAGTCTTCACATTTGGAAGGCGACTCCATCGTGGCCTTATATTTCAAGAGAAAATTAAAAGATACTCTTAGGTATTGCAATGTGACTAGCCTTTGTCGTTTTCAAAAGTCAACTATATCCCCTTCTAGAAATGGATGATAACCGAATGAAGTAACTGAGTAAACTGTGAAAAGGGATTATGAAGGGGAAAGACGAGTTCACAAGGTTCACTGGCTTTATTTATTGGGAATTGTAACTGGAAACAATTTGGTTGGATATATGATGTGAAACTGAAACTAATCTTAGAAGCTTGCTTATCAAGAGTCTATGTGATTACTCATGATAGGATCGCAGTTACCGCTGAGATCACCACAAGAAGAACTAAGGGTTCATCTTGGAAAATTAGCTTGAGAAGACCTGTTCAGATAGGGAATGGAAAGAAGTAGAGGAGTTCATACAAATCTACAGTTTCTCTGTGGCAGAAAGTGGTGAGGATAAAATGGTGTATTGGTGTTGAAAGGAGCAGTGCTAGTACATTTTTAATGAGCTTCTATTATATGGGTCTTACAAAGAAGGAGCAAAGAAGACATGGTGAAAGGAGATATGGAATACATAAACGCCAAAGAAGGTCATCACCTTCTTCACATGCTGCATAGAGTGGGATGCAATTCTTTCTGACGGAAGATCACATAAAGAGATTGTTGAAAGTTGGTGTTTGAAGTGCAAGGAGTATGAGAAGGACAATGATATGTTATTGTTATACTGCAGAATGGCCTCACAGCTTTGGGTGGAGGTGTTCTTTTTACACCAGAAGACAGTTATAAAGGCATGGCAAGTTGGAGGGAAAGGAAACCTCGGAAGAGTTAAAAACAACATGGAATATTTATCCACTTTCCCTTTTCAAGACTACTTGGAATGAAAGAAGTAGGAGCCCTTTCCAAAGCAATGAGAAGAGCTTCTTTTGTTTCATGTATATATTTGGCGTAAAGAAAGAATATACTCTGGTATAGTAAATTAGGTAGCTAGATAATTGACCAAAAGTAGCACATATAACCACATTGAACATATATTTTGAGCACCATCTTGATGAATTAATGAAGGTGATATCTGACTATAAGAAAAATTCAAATTTGTAACCTGAGCATCTCAACTTCAAGATCATAATAACCAAACCTGATAGCCGTATTAATTCAAGTCACTTAAACCCGTATAAAACCGATTAAAAGTATAAAACATGATCGCCACCTAGGTCAAACCTATCTTGACTGCAGATCATGTAAAATTTCTCCAACTCATTCCAGTAACAAGTTAAAGATTTATATCTCTCAATTCTCAATCTCCTTGGTGAATATGTTACACTAATGTATGAGAGTAGTAAATACACCGGCGCCTTTACGAGTAGGACCAACTTTGCACCAAGTTATCATATGGTTACTTTCAGATGTTTCCAGAAAATAGGCACTTCAAGCCCATCGATTACCCTTTCCAACCCCCTGTTAGCCCTTTATTAGATATTGAAGGTAGAGCTTTGCAAAGCAACAACATATAGATGGAGTAAGTCTATTGATTCTTAAGCAGCAATATCTTCTTACTCCCAAATAAGCATACCAACCCAAGTTATTCCCAATGTACTTTCAGAATCTTCTTGCCAGATGATTCCTTCAACTTTATCTTAGTGTTTTAAATATATAGTGTCATCAGATTCCAGGACTGAAATTGCACCCAATCAAGAAACTAGCAAGTATTACTATTACACCAGTTCCCTGGTTGCTGGTAGTAGAAAACCAAATGAAAAGGCAATTTCACCTACCTACATGGTGAATTCATTAAACAACATTTCTTTTAACCTGTAGTATATTGTATTCATGGAGATATAAGACCAACACCAAGCTTAAACTAGCTGTTGCATGTTAGAAACCTAAACTAAGGTCATAAAAAGCTTGCATATTGTTGATCAATATTTGATGAGACATATTGTAGGCAATTACCAAAATGTCCAACTAGCGTTCCTTGGAAATCTTTAACAAAGTTTCTCAAGTTCAATAGATTTCATGACACATCTCAAATTCATCGTAACCTAAAGTAAAATAAACATAAAATATTTAGTGCAGTGTATAAGAAGGTACAATTTCAAACTACGCCATTTTCAGGTGTTGATACTCGAGGTAAGAGCTGTAAAAGACTGTTCCACCATTTATGCCACCTAATGTTTGTCTTTTCTTGAACATGGTAAATCCTCCCCCCACACCACCCCACCACCACCAAACGGCCGCCACATTGGAGTCCAACAGTGGCTATTGGTGACTCAAACCCCGACCTCAAAACTGGAGGTGGAAGAATCTTATTACTAGGATATTCCGCCCAGGTCTATTTCGACTTGAACATAATTATAACTGTAGACTGGTCCTTAATAGCAACATAAGGTAGAGAAATATATGTCTTATTCAACCAAATAGCAGACACATTGTGTTTTTCACTTTCTTCTCTACCTTTATTACTAGTTGCATATGCATGTAACTGCACAAATCTATTTAAAATGCTTTGCATCACCAATAGTTCAATGAGTTTGTCCGCCACTTCTTGAAAAGACAAGCGTTGGAACTTCAATAGTACCATCTAAGATTTCCATTGGTTGGCTTAGTTTCAATAGCTTATTTCCAGATTAAGATTTCTTTACTTTCGACTTCCTTTCATAAATTATTTCTTAACTCGGCTAATATCTAAGTGCAATCTCTGTGAAAAGGGGATTACAAGGCTTGTATCATATCCCCAATTTCTGTGCGCATAACAGAACCAGAGGTTCAACAATAATATTTTGAGGATTGCGAAACAAGTATCAGTAATTTTAGTTACCCAGTTAAGTGGAATCCTTTCGTCTCAATCAATAAAAAATGCCCAAGGTCCTCAATTGGATAAAATCACTGATTTCACACAATTCCTATGATCTAACCTTTTTCTCTTTACTTTCTACTGATATACCAATATGCCATAACGGGGAACCAGAGATAGAGTACTCATAGCATTACAATTTTCGGTAGACATGATTCACATCCATTATTACAGATTGGAAAACATAACCCTCAACCTCAAGTCCTACCTAGGCCAAATACACAGAACAAGTAGGAATAAGAAATGAACTTACTTCATGAGAATATCATAGTACTCAGGATCCAAAGCAGAGAACAAGCTATCCACATCTTTGATAGCCATTATAGCCCTATGGACCACTATCCAATTGGCAGACTGCAAATTCCCCAAAACAAAAAATTAAATGTCAACCTCAGAAGTTGCATCATGGACCAACATTCTAATAAAAAGGATAATTTAACAAAAAAGATTGAACCTTGCATCTTTCATCTTTGGTCTTGGGAGGTGATCCTTCTAGAGCTGTTTTCAAAGCTTCCACTGGTTTATACCTAACAAATAATCAAAATCACAAGTGGGTCTTCAGTATTATATATACAATTATAGATGTGGGAATTTGTTTTTATGCAGGTATAAAAGAGGAAATATTATAGATGTACTGTTTGAGTAAGCTTTCGATCTTGCGGGACTTGTGCTCGATTCTGGTGATTATGGCTTCGAAATTATCTGCTTCAACAAACTCCGCCATTTCCTCTACCTTGAGCCAATTGCGCAAGCAGCTTTTGGGATCTTTATTGAGTGTCTGATGCTCTGAATTCCGGTATTGATTACCAACAGGAGTTGACAACGCTTTTGCCAAATAAGATTATTAAATGAGAATAAGTCGCATCGGATAAATAAATGCGCGTTATAATTCGCATTTGTAAATGCAATTTAAAAGTCGTATTTGGTGAATACCTCTAATACGTCGTATTCGATAAATGCTTTGATGCGATTTATATATTCCTCAAATGCGATTTTTTATTTTCCAACTATGATTTATATATCAACTGGATTTTGTAAATTGTGTTATAAATATATTATATTATGGATATACATTTAGTACTCTGTTGTAAATAAGTTTCTTGAACAAGCTTATCCATAGGGGACTCCGTCGTAAATATATTTATCTATTTGGAAATAAACCTCTTGAAGAAGTTTATCACTTCGGTACTCGGTTATGGATAAATATTACCCCGGTAGAAGATTATCCATACCGGGTATAACAAGTTTATCCTTTCGATACTCCGTTATGGATATATATTACCCTGTAGAAGATTATCCATACCGGGTATAATAAGCTTATTCTTTCGATACTCCATTATGGATAAATATTACCCCGGTAGAAGATTATCCAGACCAGGTACAATGAGCTTATTCTTTCAGTACTCCATTATGGATAAACATTACCCCCAGTAGAATATTATCTATACCCGGTACAATGAACTTATCCTTTCAGTACTCCGTTATGGATAAACATCACTCTCAATAGAAGATTATCCATGTCTGGTATAGTAGTAGCTTACACAGCAGCTTGCAGTAGCAGCTTATACAACAGCTTCCTTTCTTCTATAAATAGAAGAGATTTCAGTTCATTATGTACATCAGTTTGAATTCGAATAATATATCAGTTTTTCTTTATACTTGTCTTTACTTTGCAGTCTTTATTTTATAACACGTTATCAGCACGAGACTCTGCCATCTTGAGCAAATACTTTGAAAGTATCTGAGGTACGAACTTTCTTTTTTTTATATAATGTCAAATCTTTCTAAACTTGAATTTGTAGCCATGCATATATCGGGCAAAAGCTACATATCTTGGGTGCTTGATGCTGAAATTCATCTTGATGCGATGGGTCTGGCAGACACCATCAAGGATAAAAATCAGGCATCAAACCAAGACCGTGCCAAAGCAATGATATTCATACGCCATCACCTTGATGATGACCTGAAAATGGAATATCTCACTATTAAAGATCCAGTCATACTATGGAATAATTTGAAAGATAGATATGACCACCTGAAGATGGTCGTTCTTCTACAGGCACGTTATGATTGGACTCATCTAAGGCTACAAGGTTTTAAATCTATAAGTGAATATAATTCTGCTATGTTCAGAATTATTTCCTAATTGAAATTATGTGGTAATAATATTACTGATCATGATATGTTGGAGAAAACTTTCACCACTTTTCATGCCTCGAATATGCTCCTGCAGCAGCAATATCGAGAGATGGGATTTAAAAAGTATTCTGAACTTATCTCACATCTTCTTATAGCCGAGCAACATAATGGGCTATTAATGAAAAACCATGAAAGCCGACCTACTGATTCTTGTCAATTCCTNACAAAAGCATGAAGCGGTGCAAGCACCAAATGCAGAAAATGCATGCTATAGATGTGGAAGAAAATGACACTGGTCACGTACCTGCCGTACGCCAAAGCACCTGGTTGAGCTTTATCAAGCCTCCCTAAAGAAGACAGAGAAAAATGCTGAAGCAAATTTTATTTCTGAAGATAATCTAGACTTCATGCATTTGGATGTAGTTGATTACCCTGCACTCCCAGAAGGAGAAACAAGTCATGTTATCGGTGGTGAATCTGTAGAAATATAAATATTTTAATTTTTGTTATTTATAATAGATAGTATGACTATGTAATTGTTGTACATAAAGAAAAATTATGATTTGATAATGATGTTTGCTATAATATATCTTATTTATGTCATTTTGAAGAATATGAATAACATTATTAGATCAACTTAAACTCTAGCAGAGTTTGCAAGAAATATACAACCACCAGAAGTGGTTATATTTCGCATATCTCATTGTAATTATATTTTGTTAGCCACCAGAAGTGGTATATGCCTATGATCACCAGAAGTGATAATTTAGGTTTTCTATGGTTACAATTGAAGATAAGCTACATAAATATTCTCTATATTAAATGCACGCCTTGATTTTCTCCTAAAGTAGTGAATATTTTAAAAGAGGCTGAGACATTACAATTTGATGTGATTAATGCGCATTCAGATAATTATGTTCGATTTCCTGAAGGATAGAAACTTTTGATAATATTAATCCATTCCATGTGAATGTGACAATATTAATAAATCTGGTAAATATGAATGTGCTCTTGATGTGAATATATTACAATTCACCTCCGTAATAATTGAGAGAATATATACTCAATATTTCATATTTTAAATTTGCCCCTAAAGAAGTAACACAATTGAAATTGCCTCCTGAAGTAGGAAAATATTATGAAGAAGAGTTTTTTTGTGCTTAAACAATTATTTTACATTGTTTATTTGATTGTGATTTTCTCTCATGATATCAGAAGTGTATGAGCAATATTTGATAGTACAAAATATATCAACAACTCCTAAAGAGCTAACTGTCGCTACAACATTTTAGATTTTTAGTCACCCTTGGTAAGTATGGCCTAAACTATCAAAAAGTGTGGTATTTGATAAAATGCCACACTTTTCAACTTTAAACAACACTTTTCTAGGGGTGGCCTAAACTAGTGTAATACTCTTTTTAAGTGTTGCTTTAAAGGCCACGCTTCGAAAGTGTGGCCTATAAGGTACAAATACTACGCGTGTAATACCTCACGTGGCAACATTTTTCATGTCCAAAAGCTACATGTTTAAATCGTTGCCTTTTCTACCTCGAGGCCACCCTTATAAAATGTTGCCTTTGCTAATAATTTGATATATCTAGTATTCACATTTATCATCATAAATTTTTAGATTATTGCAAACGTATGAAGAACTCAAATACTACATTAATCAATATATAAATAAAAAAAAAAAAAGATTCAAGCGCATACACTTACAATGAACTTTGAAAAAGAAATATGTATCAAGTACTACATTAACTAATAAAGCAATCTCTTATAGGTCGACTACTGGAAATGAATTATACAATATCTGATGTACTCTATCATGAATAACACTTTAAAACATATTATAGTGCTAAAGGTAGTATACGTTAGAAACCCAATTTGTTATCCCCTTGGTCCTTAGCACCTTTCACATCAATCTCCTAATTTTGCAACTGATCCGTTTTCGGTAGCTTGACCACCCTATTAATCTAAGCAACATGTGAGATTTCCTTGTTCAGATCATCAAAAACTTCTGAAGGTTTTTGAGTCTTAAGTTCCCTAATTGTAATCTCATTATTCTTTTCAGTGGTTTTGCCTTTCCATACCTGCAATTGAGACAAACAAAGATGCATTATTTGTTATAGTCTGCTACTAATTTAAAAAAAAAAACTATTTATGCCAGCTGCAGTTAGATAATATTAGATGAGTACTATAAAGTTGAAGGGGTTTAAATATGTGAAAGGGGGATATTGAAAGGGAGAAATCTAATTTTCTCAAGGATCATGCTCTCCCTTCAGAATGATGACTTATTCACCTAGCAATCTTGAAAAAATTAGCACTCGTAGCGGATAAAAATCATTGAAGTACTTGACAAACAAACTTTTAAAATAAATAGAAACATGGCTACTAGAGAAATACTTATAAATTAATTCTACAATTTCATTTATTAGAATGGAATTCAGAAGTATGAGTAAAAAGTTTTCACATGAACTAACTTACTACTGTTGCCGTATATGAGATAAGGTGCAGATCCAGATGAAAATATTCAGGTGCTCCGGTAGATTTTAGATCATACTAACTAGTTTAACTACCAGTTTTTTTTTCCACCTTCACTCATCGCTACTGTTTACTTTACTCATCATGCTCATATAGAAAACTAACCAGCAGCAACCTGCAAGCACCATATTAAAATTATTTCGATATGTATATATGAGAGACAATAAGCAGAATCTTCCCAAAAAAAATACCGGAAGAGATTTATATTATTAAAAAGTATGAGAGGAGTTTTCTTGAATATCACCCTTCACTCTGCATTGATATTAAGAACAAATAAGAATAACCTGCAAGATCACTAATTAGAATGGATTCTAAATACATTGTCATCTACCTACTATTTTCCTTTTCATCCTATTTCATATTTTATCTACTTTATTTTATATTTGTGGGGTCTAAATTTTCAAATAATTTTAATAAGCTTGAGTAGCCTTCAATCTACTAAGGAAAAGAGCAACTCTTTCTACCTCTTGATCCTGCACATTCATGCTGAAGGTCAAATGCTTATTATTGCTTTCTCTACACTCAGCAACTGAAGCATCCTTGAGTGTGGTAAGATCATCGATATCTTGGAATAAATCTTACAAAACTACAATCTACCATCAATGGATCTTTCTGCTTCTAGATTCTGTTAATAGACTATAATATGAGTCAACTGATTCTCTTAAAAACACATGAAATACGTTATGATAAGCATAACTTCTTACCATAATAAAGACCAACTATCATAAACTAAGAGAACTAAGAAATAGAGAAGGTAGGACTTCGAAGAACGGATCATTTTTGCCCAACAACCAATACAATAAAAAACTGATTAATATAGAGAAAATGAGAGAGAAAACTCGGAGAAGATGCAAGTTGTATAAGTAAAGCAACCTATCAATCACCGGTGAAGCATTCACAAATAGAATATATATGACAAGCAAAATATCAAGCACTAGTTAAGTTGAGCATCATTTTTTTTTTCATGAAGTAAAAGGAGTTCATTAAAAGAAGTCAAGCGGATGCAAACAAAATTACAATTGAGAATAGAATATGTTTGCTCATGGACAAAAGCTAATCTAAAACTAAGGAGCAGTAATGCATTTGATGTTAAATTTTGCTCCTTTTATTGTTTCAATTAAGCGGTACATTTTTATCCATTGCTTTCATAGAAGAGTATTAGCTCGTTGCACAACTCCACTAGCTGGACACTGCATATTAACAAGTTATTTTACATCTTATACTTGATTTTTTTTTCATTCTTAACTAGATGGCTTGTATAGGATGGCAACTTTTCTAGAAGAAACTAGGTCCAAACAACCAAATGCTAAGAAGTGATAGTGTCAAATAGTACAGAATGACTGAAAATTTAAACCCAAAACCAGTGTGTGTATCATAGGTATTGTACAAGTCATACACACGTCATTATGATAAGCTACAATCTGACATCTTAAGGATTGCTAAAGAAACAAAATAAATAACAAGAGCTACTATAAACAACTAGCATATTAATAGGAAGTATTGTGCTATTCTTTATTCCCACTTACAAGGAAAACAAGGAAGTAAAGAATGTAGAGATGACCAGTTGAATCAACGCCCACATGAAGTCTTCTTCATTATTCACTACTGTCAATACCAAAGCCAGCTCTGCAGCTACCTGTGTATGATGGATTATCCAAAACAAACCCTTGTGAATGGGCAAATTAAAAAGTAGTAAATAAATATTGAGTTGACGTTAATTAAAGGGTCTTACAATGGCTTAAAATGTTCCAACCTGAATAGTCAGTGAAGGTTTTGAAGAAGCCAGAGCTCGATAGCCTTCAAATGGAATGAGAATTACTTGTAAAAATGAACAAGCTGAAAGATGGATAGTGTAGTTGAGATTTTTTCGGACTATCAATAGATCTTAATTAGCTCCTTTATATAGAGTTGTTGAGTCGGTTATAGTTTCTGGTCCAAATTGAGTTCACCAAAGACTAGGTTTACCAATTCTACTAGGCTAATTGGAAATAGCGAATTGACAACAAGAATATGATAGAATAGAGCGAAATCAGAAAGAGAATGCTAGAATGAGCGAGGCGACAACATAAATTCCACACAATAGAGCAAAATGAGAAGCATACAATGCAATAACTAAAGGTACAATACAGAGAACATAGATTACTAGAGAGAGAAGTAGAAAACCGAAGAGTGAAGAGAAGAAAGTACTCACAGAGATTAAACTACCGTAGCCCTAAAATTTGGCTAGGGTTTTCGAGGATTAGAAGCAGCAAGTGAAGTTGAACGTTTCTGTCTCTGAGACTGAGATGCCTCTGTAATTAGGAAGAGAATGAATTTGGGGAAAGAATATAAATGAATTGGGGGGCAGGAGGAATGGGTAATGGAAAATCAAAATAGGTAAAAGTACTTAATGAGCGTGGTTTTTAGTTTCTAAAAGTACCCTTTTAAAGTGTAGCCTAAACTTCGTAGCCAAAAGTCAGAGACAAAGGCCACCTCTAAAAAAGCGTGGTCTAGATGCTTTTGTTGCCTAAAATTAGTGTTGCCTTAGGCCAAATTTGTTGTAATGTGTTTGTCTATAAGACACATGATATCAGTAATGTCCCATAAATATTAGATTATGAATAATAAATGAAGGCTCTCAAAGATCTTATATATAAATATGTTATTCATATTATATGATTATGGTCAAAACATATGTTGTATTAAACCTGAAGTTTACTAATGCAAAAGCAGTCACGGTAAATCAGAAGTTTACTAATGCAAAAGTTTATGCCATAGTAGACCAGAAGTTTATTAAGAGATAGCACATGCCATGATAAACTTGAAGTTTTCATTTGTCATTTTTGAATGAGCTATTTAAGAATTCAGATAAGCACNATATATATATATATAAGATGATTACATGTGTATTTATTGTAACCTGCAGTTTGGCATTTGAGATTGCTTTTCTCAATTAAGAGCATAACTTTCAGATTGTGAAATCAAGACAGTTCATCTTGATAATGCTGGTTTATATCCAAGCTGGGGTTTAGCATTGAATACCTCCTACTAATGGCTAAACTATTGCTTATGAGAACAAAGCTTCATGTGTTGGTCTAAGATATTCTAAATAGCATACAACAACACTTGTATGCATCAGACCAACAATATATGATAAAGTCCTCCCCTCATAATTGGTTTAGGATCAGAAATCAAATATTTTTACTATCTTTTGATGTGTGGTATATGATTAATTTCTCTACCACAATACACAAAGATATGTTTTCCAAAAAAGATTGGGGATACATGTTAATTTTTCTAACATTTAAGGGATGAAATAAACAACTGAAAATATGCTATATGAATCGAATTATCATCAATATGATCCTCACTTAGAAGATAATTCAAGTCAAATGCCAGAAGCATTTGCTGATCCAAAATTTAATATCATATTTCAGCTACAAATGCTCCTATTAAAATTAAAGTCCCTGAAGGATAAAGTTTACTGTACACATAAAGCGTGGTAGACCAACCGGTTCCAAAGTTAACAATCCTTGAAAAATGGTAGGAGCTAATGATCAAAATGATCATAATGAGGAGGAAATAAGCTCTAGAAGAGCCCACGACATAACATTTCATGAAACTCCGTTGTAAATAAGTTTCTTGAACAAGCTTATCCATAGGGGACTCCGCCGTAAATATATTTATCTATTTGGAAATAAGCCTCCTGAAGAAGTTTATCACTTCGGTACCCGGTTATGGATAAATATTACCCCCGGTAGAAGATTATCCATACCGGGTATAACAAGTTTATCCTTTCGATACTCCGTTATGGATAAATATTACCCCCGGTAGAAGATTATCCATACCGGGTATAACAAGTTTATCCTTTCGATACTCCGTTATGGATATATATTACCCCTGTAGAAGATTATCCATACCGGGTATAATAAGCTTATCCTTTCGATACTCCGTTATGGATAAATATTACCCCGTAGAAGATTATCCATACCAGGTACAATAAGCTTATTCTTTCAGTACTCCGTTATAGATAAACATTACCCCCAGTAGAATATTATCTATACCCGGTACAATGAGCTTATCCTTTCAGTACTCCGTTATGGATAAACATCACTCTCAGTAGAAGATTATCCATGTCTGGTATAGTAGTAGCTTACACAACAACTTGTAGTAGGAGCTTACACAACAACTTCCTTTCTTCTATAAATAAAAGGGATTCCAGTTCATTATGTACATCAATTTGAATTCGAATAATATATCAGTTTCTCTCTATACTTGTCTGTACTTTACGGTCTTTATTTTATAACAAATTGCATTTTAAATGCTTTTTATCATTCTCGATATTAATAAATATAACTGGAATTTGTAAATAATGATTTGTATATAAATTAAATCTCACAAAAATAACGTACCATTGTATTTTTTCTTAAAAGCTGAAAGGGCATATTTTGAAGAAAGAAATGCGATTAGGTTCCTTGTAATTTCTTAAAGTTACAAACACAGCCCTTATTTATTTTACTGTTTTGTGTAATGAGTGTCTCAGATGAAATAATTTCATTCACAATTAATTTTTTTCAAGTAAAATTTATGTCTAAGCACAATTAAAATTTTAATTAAGGGAAATTTTCGTTCCTATACCATATAGGAAACTATATTACCAAATATATTCATAGTTTGCATATTACTCTTCATGCTAATAGTATTTCTACAAAATATAGACAATTCATTAAATAAGGAATCATTGTAGTTGTAGGCTTCCTTATTTAGGCGCGCTAAAATTGGGGGATTAAAAATTCTTCCAGATCTTCTACAACGCAAATCACGCTCATTAATCTTCTTCGTCAGTTTCGTTTCAAATTTAGCGTCTCTGCTTTTTCGATACACTGTGTTTCAAATTTTTTTCTGATTTCACAAATCAAAAACGATCTAATCTTCTACAATTCTTCTACATCAAAAGCAATTGTGTCCAAATTTCAGTAATACAAAGCAAAGGAAAAGAGAGCAGCAATTCCACCATTGACAGCCATCAAAAAACTTTGAAGCTTTGAATTCAAATTTGGGTTTTCAAAAATCATTATTTGTTTGGATTGGGTGTTGTTGCAAATAATTGGAAATATAATTTGGAGTTTATATCTCAATTTTGAGGGGTTTTGGTGAAGATTAAACTTGGTTTTGGCTGAATTTCGGATTGAAACTCGAAGAAGAAGAAGAAGAAGAAGAAGAAGAAGAAGAAGAAGAAGAAGAAGAAGAAGAAGAAGAAGAAGAAGAAGACATAACATACATTATATTGCAGAAATTGTAGAAATACTGTAGAAAAATTGTATTCTGTTGTTTATTTATTTTTCTTTTATTCATTTAACTATTGTATGAAAGTTGAATAACATTGTATAAAAATTATATTTAAGTGGTATTATATTGTAGTTATATATAACTTAGTAGAAATAATATACGAAAATTGTAGATAATTTGTAGATAAGTTGTACAATATATAATTAGTTGTATGAAAATTATTTTTACTATGTATAAATCAGATACAAAATATACAAAAGACATATTGTATAAATTTTGTATAAAATTTGTATGTAAGTTTTATGTTATTGTAGTTGTATTTCACTGGGTGGAAATAATGTGTGAAAGTTGTAGAAAATTATAGATAATTTGTATTCCTCTATAACAAGAGATGTGCATATCAAGTAACTTTAGTGTTCCAGACGAACATGCATGAAAATAAAGATAAATTCTGTTATGAACAGTTTATAGAAAATTTGTAGATAATTTGTAGAAACATTGAAATTCTATATTTTGATATGCAGTTTTATTGTAGAATAAATATAGAAAACAAGCCATTGTGAGTCTTATTTGACTCATTCCTCACATTCAACCTATTCTACAAATTCACGCCTCTTTAAATACAATACAACCATACTTTCTTGAATTTAAAGGTATAGCAATATATATAACTTAAAAAACATCTTCTCCTCTGCACAAGTTAGTTCCAAAACAGACGAAGTGGAATAACAAGCTCCCATCAAAAATTTTAACACAAAAACACAAAGCTCAAATTTTATGTTATTGTAGTTATATTTAACTGGGTGAAAATAATGTGTGAACGTTGTAGAAAATTGTAGATAAGTTGTATTCCTCTATAACGAGAGATGTTGACATATCAAGTAACTTTAGTGTTCTAGACGAACATGCATGAAAATAAAGATAAATTCTGTTATGAACAGTTTGTAGAAATTTTGTAGATAATTTGTAGAAACATTGAAATTCTGTATTTTCATATTAATTTTTCAAATGATATGTAGTTTGTTGTAGATTAAATGTAGAAAACAAGCCACTGTGAGTCTTATTTGACTCATTCCTCACATTCAACCTATCCTACAAATTCACGCCTCTTTAAATTCAATACAATCATACTTTCTTGAATTTAAAGGTATAACAATATATATAACTTAAAAAACATCTTCTCCTCTGCACAAGTTAGCTCCAAAACAGACGAAGTGGAATAACATGCTCCCATCAAAACTTTTAACACAAAAACACAAAAGCTTAAAAATAAATAAACAACAATCTACAATTTTTTTTATAATTTATCTACAATTGGTGCAATATAATGTATGTCATGTCTTCTTCTTCTTCTTCTTCTTCTTCTTCTTCTTCTTCTTCTTCTTCTTCTTCTTCTTCTTCTTCTTCTTCTTCTTCTTCTTCTTCTTCGTGTTTCAATCTGAAATTCAGCCAAAACCAAGTCTAATCTTCAACAAAACCCCTCAAAATTGAGATATAAACTCCAAACCATATTCCTAATTATTTACAACAACACCCAATCCAAATAAATAATGATTTTTGAAAACCCAAATTTGAATTCAAAGCTTCAAAGTTTTTAATGAGATGGTGGAATTGCTGCTCTCTTTTCCTTTCCTCTTATATTACTGAAGGAACCTGGAATCATAACCATCAAATCGACCAGGCTTGTGTTCATCTTCCCCGGGCACAAAAACATTGGGACAAGATTGCAGAGGTGCCGACAGTGCCTTGGCTATGGAAGAAATAATGGGATTTTGATACAGAAATCATGGGTGTGGGAAGGAAACGTGGGGGAAGGTATGGGAATTGGAGAGAGAAACGTGGGGGGAGTGGTATTAAAAGGAATATACGGTCCCATTAAATTAGGAGTGTAATTAATACCCTTAAAAACCACTAATGATATATAATTGGTAATTAGGTATACTAAATGTAATTATATCAAACCTTAAACATTGAGGGTAATATAGTTTCCTATATGGCATAGGAATGTAAAAATTCCTTTAATTAATTTTTTTTCAATATCAACCAAATATTATCCAAAAGCTTATTTTGTTGCATTAATATCTTGTATCATATATTCGGATGATTGAAATAATTAAGTTTTTAGAAGATAATATTTCTTAAACACAAGTAAATAATAAAGTACATTATTTCTTAAGAAAAAGATAGATAACATGAATTTTTATTTGAGATTTTCATAATTATGCACAGAACGTAGAGATGAGATACATTAACTTGCATAATGTACATTTTTTCCCTGGTGCACAATGTACAATTAGCTAATTCATAGATGACAATTAAAATAAAAAATATAGTTAACTAAATAAATTATTCTCTTTTGCATTTTGAAAAAAATTATGATAAAACATCACTTTTTCGTCTCATTTTCTGTGACATTTTTTTTCTTTATAGTACTTCATCCGGTCCACAATAGGTGATCAATTTGCTTTGGGCACACCCATTAAGGAAATACTAAATTCTAGACGAAAGTAGTTAGTGTGACTAAACTACCCCTCATTAAATATTGCACCGTAATTATAGTAGCACTTACTTCTCTTCTCAAATGGGAGGAGTAAATGACTTTTTAGGAATATGTATATAAGAGTAATTTTGGAAAAACAAATTAAATTTTTTCTTGATTATATAAATGGACACTTATTTTGGACCAAAATAAAAAACAAATTGATCATTTATTGTGGGCTGGACCTTCTCTATTTGAAGAGTATTTTATTTTAATAGCAACAATTTATCATTGACGTCACTGTTTTTTTTTTGTGTGTGTGTGTGTGTGTGTGTGTTGGTGGTGGGAGTAATTAAGTTGAGTCTAGAAACTTTTTTTATTTGGGACAACATAAAATTTTAGGAGTAATATGTTCCAGTTAAATGTTAGTTGTACTGTCAATTTTAATACGTTACATATATCGAACTTACGTGCCAAATTTTAATAAAATTGTCACATTAAATTAAATAAAGAGCATTAACTTTGTGTATTGATAACAACATGTGAATACAGAAAATAAAGATTATGTAACATTTAAAAACATATTTAATTTTTTTAAAATACATAGGAGTAACACAAGGAGGAATGGAGGGAAAAACATATTCTTTTGCTATTACTCCAATCTCATGGATTTGGAAACTCCATATTCCCAATATAAACTTAAATTATTCCTTTGGCTAATTCTTCAAAATCGCAGCCTACCTTTACAATTTGCATGTTATCCATGATCGTAATTGCAAATCGTGTGCCCATACCCCTAAAATCATGGCACATTTATTTTTAGACTGTGACATTGTCCGATCAATATGGACTTTCTTCCATATAAACACTACTGCTCCCAAATTCGAAGAATGGCTTCGCTTGCACTGTCTGCGTAATCAAGGGCCGTTTTTCTACTATGAAATTGAGGTCCCTTCCATGTTAATGGTTCGTTTCATCCTTTGGCATATTTGAATTAAACGGAATCATAATCTTTTTCATAATCCCCACGAGGAGTTCTCTGTAATTGATATCATGTATCATCTTATAGAATTTTTCTTTCATTCACCAGCTCGTTCTCCTAAAGCCAACACGTACACTCTTTACATTAAATGGTACCACCGCCTAATAACTTTGTCAAGCTTAACATTGACGACGCCTTCAATTAAGCAACTAACAGAGCTAGAGCTGCAGGAAATTTTCGTAACTCGACCAATCAATAGATTCGGGGATTCACAAGCAACTTAACTTGCTTCTCTGCTACTGAAGCTGGATTAATAGCACTTCGGCTAGGCCTATAGTTAGCTAAAGACTTTAGCCTCTGGCAGCTTCAAATAGAAACTGATTCACAGGTACTGTGCACCACGGTCGAACATGGTAATGAACTTTACTTACCTATTATTTCTGATTGCAAGTCTCTGATGCTGGAACTGGATCACGTGGAGCTTAGACATGTATATCGAGAAGCTAATATTGTAGCAGATGCCTTGGCTAAGCATGGTATAACCCTCACACCCTCATATGGACGACAACCATGACATCCCTTATATTACTTATCTCCCACTCCCTTTGCTTTATCAGCTTTTAATAAGGATTGTTCTGTAGACTTGAACGCTCGAACAGTCTTGGCTTATAATAACTATATGTCACGAGGCTTCAGCTATGGCGGTGAGAGGAGAAGAAATGAGAGAAGAAGAAGAAGAAGAAGAAGAAGAAGAAGAAGAAGAAGAAGAAGAAGAAGAAGAAGAAGAAGAAGAAGAAGAAGAAGAAATCAGTTACTCCATTGAGCAGAAAAATCATATTACATTGATCTGGGACCTAAACTACTATTTATACAAGTGTTAGTTATAACTAACTCAACTACTAACTATAGTATAGTGTGATACTAACTACTCTACTAACTATAGTCTAGTTAAATAGGTGGGGCCTACATCTCTCTACACTTCCCCTCAAGCTGAGGGATGAAATATATTCTTCATTCCCAGCTTGCCTAGTAAGTAGTCATGTTGTGGTTTGCACAAGGCCTTTGTAAGCACATCTGTAATTTGTTCTGTTGTACCAAAATGCTGAGTTTGAATAAGACCTTGTACTAGTTTTGTCTAATAAAATGACAGTCAATATCTATGTATTTAGTTCGTTCATGAAAAATTAGATGTGCAACAATTTGGATTGCTGCCTTGCTGTCACAGGCAAAGCAATGTCCATTCCTAACTCCTTGAAAAGTCCAACCAACCACACAATTTCAGTTACTGTGGTTGCCATGCGTCTGAACTCTGCCTCAGCTGAGCTTCTTGATACTATCCCTTGTTTCTTTGACTTCCAGGAAATCAGTGCATCTCCAAATTTAACCACATACCCTGTGACTAACCTCCTAGACTCAACACAAGCTCCCCAATCTGAATCACAATAGGCTATTAGTTTATTGCAGCTTCCTGTTGGCATGAACAAATCAAGTCCAGGTGTAGACTTGATGTATCTTACTACTCTTCTCTTAGGTGCATGCATATACTGGCTGAGTACCTGAACAACAAAGGCTATATATGGTCTCGTCATTGTTAGGTACAAGAGCCTTCCAACTAGTCTTTGATAATTTCTATTCTCTTCAAGTTGCACATCTTCAGAGTCATTGTCTTTTACTATTTGATCAAATTCAACAGAGGTGAGTTTTTGGTTAAACTTAAGAGGTGTAGAGGCTAGTTTTCCTCATGCTAAGCCAAGTTCAGATACCGATTCTAGGGCATATTTCCTTTGAAACATTAGGATACCTTTCTGATACCTTGAGAACTCAATGACAAGGAAATATTTTAACTCCCCCAGATCCTTCATTTTCAACTTCTCCTGCAAATCTTTTCTGACTTGCTGAATGAGAAGTAACTTGCTGCCAGTTACCAACAAATCATCCACATAAACTAGGATGACTACAAGATCAGCTCCTATTCTTTTGGTGAACAGGGAATAATCATAGTGGCTTTGAATAAAATCCATGTCTAGGAGTGCCTCTGTTAGCTTAAGATTCCACTACCTAGGTACTTGCTTCAATCCATACAAAGACTTATGTAGCTTACACACCTTTTAATTCTTCCCCTGGCTTGAAAAGCTATCAGGAACTTGCATGTAAACCTCTTCTATAAGATCACCTTGAAGGAATGCATTATGAACATCCATCTGAAATATGTACCAACGAGATGCAGCATTTAATGCAACTACAGCCCTCACTGTTACCATCTTGGCCATATGAGAGAATGTTTCTGTATAATCCAGGCCTTCTTGTTGACTGTAGCCTTTGGCTACTAGTCTAGCTTTATATATTTTCACTTCACCATTAGACTTATACTTAACCTTGAAGACCCACTTGCACCCTATAGGAACTTTCCCTTGAGGCAGATCAACAAAGGACCAAGTGTTATTGTCCTGTAATGCTGAAATCTTAGCTTGCATAACTTCAATCCACTTTTGATTAGAACTTGCTTCTTTGAATGTTCTAGGTTCAACAATAGCTGATATGCAACAAGAGAAGCCCTGTAGTACGAAGATAGTTGATTGTAAGAAACATGATGTGATATAGGATAAGGACATGTAGATTTCTTGGGCTAGACTAGCCATATAGGAGGTTTAGAAGGCCTAGAAGATATTCTGAGACCTTCAGGAGAAACTGAGAGTGCAGAAGGAGGAATAGAAGGGATTGGTTCAGAATTATCACCATAGAGAGGACTAGAAGGAGAAGACATTTGTTGAACACCATAAGTGGGCAAATATGAAATAGATACAGGTTGGCCAATACTCTTTTCAATTGGTGCATATGTAAACTCTAGTATAGGAAATAAGAGAGAAGTTCCAAGTTGCATGTGCTTAAAAGGAAAAATGTCTTCCTTGAAGACAACATCTCTACTGACAAAGAAGCCCTTGGAATGTAGATCATAGAGATATATCCCTTTTGATAAGATGAATATCCCATATGAACTGCTGGAATTGCCCTAAGACTGAACTTATCCCCTTTCTGCACTTTTGTGGCATAACATAAGCTACCAAACACTCTAAGATATTGTATGGAAGGTATCTTCTGAAATAGTGCTTCAAATGGAGACTTGCCTTGAAGAAGTCCAGTAGGTAATTTATTCAGTTACATTGCTGTAGACACACACTCACCCCAAAATCTCAGAGGTATGAAGGCATGGAATCTGAGAGCTCTAGCCATATCTAATATAGTCCTATGCCATCTCTCCTGTCACGACCCAAGTTCACCCTCTATGAACTGTCGTGATGGCACCTAGTCTCTACGACTAGGTAAGCCTAACAATTTGTGAAAAAAAATAAAAGATAAAACTAGCCAAAACTGCAGATAAAACATAAATAAAACATTTATGATGTCGCTCGGCATATACAAATATAAACTCTCAAACTGAATCGACTCCCAAAACCTGGAATCTCATGAAATCATAATTTGTGGAATAACTACAAAGTGTTATAATTCCAGAATATCTAAACAAAAGTAAATACATGAGAGCTCAAGCTAAAAGTGAGAATAGAGAGGGACTCCTCGGTCTGCGAACGTGGCAGATATACCTCAAAGTCTCTGAAGATCGCCTTGCCTTACTAGAAGTATGGCTGAGCCGAAGAACCTGGATCTACACACGAAAAGCATGTGCAAGAAAGGGCATGAGTACACCACAGCGGTACTCAGTAAGTGCCAAGCCTAACCTCAATTGAGTAGTGACGAGGAAGGTCAGGGCCCTACTGATTATAGATGAAAAACAAGGTAAAACTGTATACAATATGACAACATAATTAAAGTGCTAACAGTTTATAACGAATAAAATCACAGAAAGAATCTAACTTAGTACACAGAAATAGCAATAGGGGATCTCCCGAGATATCGTCCCATAGTCCTAAATGTAAATGCCCAGAGGATCTCCTGGGATATCGTCCCGTAGTTCGAATCATAAATATGTTGGGAAAACTCCCGGAATACCCTCCGTACTATGGGTATATCAAGATCGAGTAGGGTATCTTTCACTGCCTTCCAGCTTTGAGGAGCAGTCTACAAGTGGTGGCGTACTTTTGAGTTGGACAGTCCAGCTGAGGCAGCATCCCTTACTTGGACTCAGTTTTCAGATATGTTCCTGAGAGAGTTTGTCCTTCAGAGACTTAGGGACGCGTGGCGTGCAGAGTTTGAGCATTTGCGCCAAGGCACTATGACTGTTTCGGAGTATGCTGTTCGTTTTACTGACTTGGCTTGGCATGCACCAGACTTGGTTCAGGATGCCTTGGAGAAGGTTAAGGTGATTCAGGGTAGACTCCGTACATCCAAGTCCAGACAGAAGAGTTACGCGGACCGAAAGGTTCGTGATGTTTTCTATATGGTTGGAGAGCGGGTCTTGCTACGGGTTTCGCCTATGAAGGGCGTCATGCAATTTGGGAAGAAAGGGAAATTGAGTTCGAGGTTTATTGGTCCTTTTGAGATATTAAGACGTGTTGGGTAGGTTGCTTATGAGCTTGCCTAACCTCTCAATTTGGCAGGAATTCATCCGGTGTTTCATGTTTCGATGCTTCGGAAGTATTACGGTGACCCGTCGCACATGCTGGATTTCAATTCAGTCCAATTGGACAAGGATCTATCTTATGTTGAGGATCCAGTGGCGATATTGGACAGGCAAATTCGAAAGCTAGGGTCAAAGAACATTGCATCAGTGAAGGTTAGTGGCGGGGTCAACCGGTCGAAGAGGCGACTTGGGAGACCGAGCAGGATATGCACAGCCGTTACCCTCATCTTTTAACTACTTCAAGTATGTCTCTATGATCATTCGAGGGTGAACAAATGTTTTAAGAGGGGGAAGATGTAATGACCCGACTGGTCGTTTTAAGAATTAACGCCCCGATCCCCTATTAACTGTTTTCCCTATATTTATTTTTGCTATGTTGAGTTGGGTACTCGAGTGGAGTTGAGCACAAAATTTCACCCCTAGACGGATAGACAGTCCGAGCGCACCATTCAAATTCTTGAGGATATGATCCGTGCGTGTGTGATGGAGTTTGGAGGTTCTTGGGATCAGTTCTTGCCACTGGCAGAGTTTGCTTACAACAACAGTTATCAGTTCAGCATTCAGATGGCACCGTATGAGGCCTTGTATAGTAGGCGGTGTAGATCCCCGGTGAATTGGTTCGATCCGGGTGAGGATAGATTATTGGGCACAGTTTTGGGGCGTGACATCTCCACCACCCTATTTTGTTGGGGTGTATAAACACAAGAACTTTGATAAAGAATTCCAAGACTTTGCAACAGATAATGGACCTGATCATTCACAAATTCAGTGCCATTGTCAGTTTTGAGGCACTTGACTGTAGTTTTAAACTGATTTGACACCATTGTAAGAAAGTTATTTAAAACTACAATGGTATTTGCCTTAGTAGTTAGAAGAAAAATCCAAATGTATTTAGAGAAATCATCTACCAAGGTTAAAAATATCTTTTGTTGTCATGAGTTGGTATTCTATATGGACCCCAAACATCTGCATGAACAAGATAAAAAATAGAAGTAGAACAAGTGGTTCTAAGAGGAAAAGGTGGCCTTGAATGCTTTGCAATAGGACATACAGTACAATGCTGATGATCAGTTAGATGTAACTCATGAAGATTATGTAGTTTCTGTAGTACCTTTAGAAGAGCATGTCCTAGTCTCCTATGCCACAAAGAGAAATCATTACATGGACTTGTACTATTATGGCTAAGAGTCTTATTTGTGCTAACAATGGTATTTACACTTGGTAATGTATGATGTTCAGGAGTTTGTCTTTCCGCAGCCTTGAGGATGTAGAGTCCAAGTTCTTCTCTGCCAATCCCCAGTACCTTCCCACTGAAGAGTTCCTGAAAGACATAGAAACCAGGAAAGAATTCCACCAAACACCTTAACTCTTTTGTGATTTTAGACGCTGAGAGCAAGTTATACTTGAAATCTAGAATGTGAAGTATATTCTGAATTTTCTTATTTCTGAAGAAAGAACAGATTCCAGTATGTGTAATAAAATCTTGTTCTCCAGTAGGCAATTGGACTTTATTTTTATCCTTCTCTGATACTTCCTCATAGAAGTCCAATAGATTTAGACAATGCACCATGTGATTAGATGCTCCTGTGTCTACTATCCAATTATTATCCACCAAAGTAGATATAAAAGCATGTAGTGTACCTGTTATCCCTGTAGTAGCCGAGTTAGCAACAGGTTCAGTATCTTTGCCCTTGTTCAGCATCTACAGGATTTGCTGGTATTGTTGTAAAGTAAAGAACTGAGCTGGAGTAGTTTCTGAGGGCAGATTCCCATTGTTATTCTCAATATGATTCATATTGTTGTTAACATTGTTTGCTTGAGCATTGAAACCTTCTCCTCTTCTCTTGTTGTTGAAATCACTAGGATATCCATGGAGCTTGAAACAGTTTTCCTTTGTATGACCTTTACGCTTACAATAGTCATATTGAATTGTTGATTTGTTGAAGAAATTCTTAGGTTTGTAACCTCCGGAGTAGCCGGCGTTGGTATAACCTCCAGAATTGTTAGATCCTCCATTGTGACCAATATTCTGAGCTCCATCACTCATCATAGCAGCATCTTCGTTGTTATCATTAGAACCATACATATTTTTTCCAGTGATCCTTTGGCTTTCTACATTGATTATCATGGCATAGGCTTGGTTTAGATTAGGTAATGGTCGAGTCATTAACACCTGATTTTTGGCATTCTCATAGGAGTCATTGAGGCCTGTGAGAAACTGATAAAACTTTTGAAGCTAATAGTGTTCTACATGCTTTTTTGACTCAGGACAGCCACATGAAGGTGGAAGAGTAAGTGTTTCATACTCATCCCAGAGTTCCCTCAAACAAGAGAAATACACAGACACAGAGGATACTCCTTGTGTTAAAGTAGCAATTTTCTTATGTAGATAAGCTGATCTAGAAGCATTTACTTTGTCAAATCATTCCCTTAGGTCTGCTCAGA